TCCTGTGTTCTGACTTAATTAGCGTGGGGTGGGGCCCCTGGAACAACATTCTAACAGCTTCCCAGGTGATTAGAATGCACAGCTAGGATGAGCTGCTCCTCCGAAGCATGAAGACCCACGGGATACTGCAGAGTTGCTGGGGGTGGCCCTGCCCAAATTCTCGCTTAAAACCCCCAACTTTCAATGACACTGTGGACCTACTCTAGTGTTACTATAAGGTTTACAAATTTCTATGCCACCTATCAGACCATTTTTTAAGGATCAAATAAAAGTTTCCATGACTTTTATAGTTCTTTCCCTGTGCTTTTTTATCATGATATTGAAAAACGACAGTGAAAAGCAACCAAGGCATTTCAGCCAGCATGCTGTTGACTAGTTCACGCAGTTACCACCAAAGCACATGGACAGGACCCAGAGCGTCAGTCTGTGCCCACTAACGGGGACAGAAACCTACCGCGTTCGAGTTTTGACATATTTCTCGCAGTTGTTGAAAACTATGAGGCATGAAATCCAGATTTATGACTTTTTAAAAAGTTATTTGTGGATTCCCAAGACAATTATGTTCCCATCACTTATGTAGCCTTAAAAAAAAAAAAAAGAAAAAGAAAAAAAAACTCAAATGATGCTGAAAAAAAATCCAAGTTTGGCGCTCACTGAGTTCCAATGTCAGTTGTCTGAATCGCACTCAGACAAAGTCAAGGGGAAAAAAAATGCATTCTGCCTTCCTTTAACTGCTAGTTTGTCATGGAGAACAGAAAGTCCCATTTGTATGTGGCTTTTGGAAAAGCTAAGCCGGGAGCGATTATCCTGATGCACTTTTTACTTTTTGCATAAAATAAGAATTTGAGGAGGATGTCCCGGGAGAGAGCCACTTCTCATTTCCCAGGCCTCGCCTGCCATCCTCTCTGACAACATCATCGCTTTTATTTTTGCTGGGAATCCCATTATCAAAGCAATGCCCCCTCACACACACACATTGCCAGGTAAACCATAGCGGGTGGGGGGGGTGGGCAGTTCATGGTTGCCTTAATACACCCTGTCCTCTGCTATCACCTCCTTTTGTGTCTGGATCAGTTCTTTGGCAGTTCTCTCAACTTTTATTTCTGAAACATCCTTAAACATCTCAGTATTAAAACCAAGGCTGGTTAGAGAAACCGCACTCCCATGCCTGACAACACATGCTTTTGTCTGAGGTCTTTACTGCCAAGAGCCATAAGGACCCTCTAAGCCATGTTCACTATTTTTACTGGCCTTGAGAGTCTCCTTGCTTTGACATGCTCTTGTCTCCGTTGTCAGACTGTTAAATGCTCCTGCTTCTAGTTCTCTTAAATAGATGCAGATGTGTGGGGCTGGGTTGCCACTGAGCCTTCTTCTCTTCTGCAAGAGCTGGGATAGGGACAGAAGGTGGTTTGGAAAACACAAGCCACCTTGATTTTAGGCAAACTCTAAGTTACAATCAGGTGTCTTCATTTATAACATTTAACTTTTTCTTAACCTGTTGAAGCCATGTTGTTGGCTACTGATTAGAATAGCCTTTTATAACTTACCTTAAATCTCACGACTTGTTCCAACCACCCCAGAGTCTGGCGTAAACTGTCATTGCATGCTGCTCTTTCCAGCCTTTCTGGTTCAACTCTTAGCAAAAGCCATAATCTTCCTCCAGTCTGTTTCCTTTCTGCAATGACAGAATTGCCCAGGGAAAGGAAAAAGAACAGCATCTATCATCTTTCTTTTTAGCTCCCTGGTTTAAGGCTTTCTTTTCCCCCATGATGAAAAACTATAATCATTCTGCTTAGAAAGTACAGACCCCTAAGCCCACTTACAAGAGAGGGATGGATTTTCAAGTCTGTTATCTCTACTTTCCCAGAGCCCAGGGGTCTCCCAGGCCAGAAGTTGACAGAACTGTCTTCATACACTTGAGACAACATCATGCCCATTTCCTTAAAACTAAGAACATAAGATGCTGTTTTTTCTTACAAAAAAAAAAAAAAAAAAACCTTTCTTGTTCTTTCAAAAACTGTTTCACTGACAATGTTTCATATTACAAAATTGAAACTTAGAACTTTTGAATTGCAAATTTAGCAGAAAATGAAGCCATGCTCTTGTGGCTTTGCTTGTCACCTCTGCTCAGATGCCTCCCAGACCCCTCTCTAGCTGCAAACTGCACGCAAAACTGTTTCTCTAAAAGAAAACAAACTCCTGTTTTTCCTACTACGGCTACTGCTACTACTATTGCTACACACACACACACACACAAACACAGAGAGAGAGAGAGAGAAAACACTTCTGACACCAAATGTAGGGGGTTTTTTTCACACCAAACAATTCTGCAGTTCACTGCAGACACCAGCCGAGTGTCCTGCAATCCAATTCTGACACCACCTGCCTGGAGTTAGCAGGTGAAGGACTCAGCCCCACAAGCCTGCCTCCCTCCCCATGCCAATTGCATGTCCCAGGTCTCCCTGCTAACTGACCAGCGGTAAATCAGGGGTTCCCACGACCCCCTCCTGGGATTTGTAACTTGCTAGAGCAGCTCACAAAACTCAGAGAATCACTTAACATTGACCAATTCATCACCAACGATATTATGAAAGGATGTAAAAGAACAGCCAGAGAAGAGGTGCACAGGACCCAGGGCCAGGCAGCGGAGCACACTGAGCTTCCATGCCCTCTCAGGGGGCATCACCTCCTGCACCAGAATGTGTTCAACCCCAAAGCTCCTGAACCCTGCAATGTCAGGATTTTTAAGGGGCTTCATTGCATAGGCAGTATTGATGAAATCATTGGTCATTGAGTGAACCCCAGACCTTGTGGGGGTGGGGCTGAAAGTTCCAGCCCTCCAAAGATCTGGCACATTCCTCTGGCACTCAGCCCCCAGCCTCCAGGAGCCACCTCACCAGCATACACTCAGGTAGGGTTGGAGAGGGCTTGTGATAAATGATGAAGGACATTCTTCTGCCTGCATCGCTAGGGGAATTCCAAGGGTTTTAGGGGCTCAGTGCTAGGAACCCGGGGCAGAAATCAAATACACATTTCTTGTTACAGCAGTGTCACCCCCTCACTCTGCCTAATTTGGTGACTAGCTGCCCCATCAGATTATGCCTATTTAAGCCAAGCCCCGATCCCCATGGCCAACCTTCTGTCCTTCCCAGCCAGCCCACTTCCCGGGCATAATCACTTCTGCCCCTGGCTGGAGAGTTGTACTGAGGCTTTCATCCTCCTCCTCATGCCGCCTTCCAGTGCTGCTGCCTGTCTTTTGAGGGCTGCTTGAGGTTCACTACCCCTTTCTCCATTGCCTCTGCGACCTGGCTAATCCACATCCTCCCCCACCCGTGCTCTTCAGCACCAGTGCCTGCCCTGCTCAGCACGTCCTCATCCCTGCAGCCTCCACCCTGGTCTTCCTGACCCACTGCCTCCAGTACCGCTGGTTGCAGACCTGCTCCGGCTCTGTCTGCCCAGCTGGCTGGCCTGCCTCTGTTCCAACCTCCCCTGCCTGGCCTGGCATTCTGGGCGCCACCCCCGCTCACATCGCCGCTTCACCTGCTTTTGCTATCTGTGCTTTCCATGTCCTGCTCCTTCTCCCAGCTAGTGGTGCCTCTGAGAAGAGGACTGAGAACCACCTGTGACCACCGCAATTTCACGGGCATGATGGGAGCAAAGGCAGAGGGTGTGAGTTTAGTGGGCATACGCCACTCTTTCAAGAAGTTTTGCTACAAAAAGATGCAAAGGAAGTGAAGAGGGAAGGGGTTTGCAGGGTGAGAGAAATAACAGCATTTTTGTTGTTTGTTGTTGTGACTGTTTTGAGCCAAAACATAACAAACAAGACAGAAGGAAGACCTGATGGAGCATGTCCTTGAGAAGGCGAGAGGAGCGGGGTTGGCCTGGTGGGAGATCGGCCTCCATATGGGGGTTATGGGGGTTCCTGTCCAGCAGCCTGGGGTTCGGGGGAAGGCAGGCCTGCAGCAGGTGTCGGGTGCTGGGGAGCAGGAGACAGCTCTGTGACTTCACTGTCCTCAGTGGGGAGCCACGGCTGAGCTTGAGAACGGGCTTATAGGCTGAAGGCCAGGCAGGTGGGAATGGGCAGTGAGGAGGGGAGGACGAGCCGGGTAGAAAGAGTGGTTAGAAACACAGAGGGCCACACGGCCAACAGTCAGGGGACTAGCACACAGCCAGACCCACCCACGGCACTGTCCGTGCAGAGACACTTGACATCTGAATTTAACCCGGGTCTTGGTTTGACTGAGCCCAACGTGGAGAGAAGGGCCAGGGAGTCACAGAGGGGTGGTGGGCTGGGTGCTGGTTTAGGGGCTAGGACATGGAGGGCTGAAGGCGGGAGGCAATCGCGTCCACTGGGCAGGGGCCCGGGGCTGCTGACAAGAGGAGAGGTGGTAGCTACAGAGGAAGCTGCTCGGGATTCTGCAGTTCCCCGGGGAGAGAGGAGCCCGAGAGCCTGCGGGGTGAGGGGGTTGGAAGGGGCACCTGTGGATGTCCTGAGACTTCCAGGAAGTGGGACAAGATCAGTGATGGAGACAGACAGCGTCATCAGGGCCGAGAGGAACGACAGTAACAGCGAGGTGAAGTGGGCGGCCCTGTCTGGCAGCACGGGGTTTCGAGCTGTCTTGTGGAGGGCAAGGGAACAGGATGCTTTGAGGTGGCAGCCAGGAGCAGGGATGGTTTTGATTGCAAATGGAAAAGGTTTGATGCAGAGTTTCTGGAGCCTTCATGTCTTCCTGGTCTGAAGCCCTTTTTATTTTTACCGGATTGAGGTGATTATCAGAATAGTTAATGGTGTGCTCCGTTCCTATTTCTCTCGTTTTTCTAAGGTCCAGGGACTGCAGGCATCATTATTCCTTCTCCCCGGGGCCAATGACCAGTTAATTCCAACTTTGATGGACTCAGTGCAGGCCACATTGTCACGTGTAACTCTACACTGAGAATTATTTTAGAAAGTTAAACTCCTAAAAATATTTTGTTTTTCCAAATGGTGGCCTCTGGGTCTGCCTTCACCTCTTTTGCAATGATCAGCACTAGGATCTGCTTTCGGAAATGGTTGTGCAGAGCCGGGGCTTTCACCAAAGCTTGGCCGCTCGGACAGGACTCACGATGGAGGACGGTCAGGTGTCCTGGGTGTCAGATGCCTGCATCCGCCCGTGGGTGGTGAGGGGCCTGCCTCCTTCATAGCTTTCCACTGCCAGGCTGGCGCCCCCTCCCCTCACCCCCATCTCCTCCGGAGGAAGACCAACTTAATCAAATCTCATCACAACTATAGCTGCCTCCTGGAGAAAGCCTGCCTTCTGTCCCCCTCTTGTCCCTCCCTGCGTGGAGGCAGGCCCTTTGTCCAGTGCCCATGTGGCTCCGTGGGTGGTCTTTCTAAGTCATCAGAGGAGATTAGCAAACACACATGTCCGTTGGCCTAAGGCCCAATCTGCAGGCAGCCTTATGAATAATCAACGTGGCTTGTCTCTATAGTTCAGTGCCTGTATCTGCCTCTCAGTTGGCATTGAACCTGGGGAAAAGAAAGATGGATTATTCATTGGAAACCTCAAAACCTCGACAGCTGAGCTTTCTTACAAATGCCTGCATGGCCCCCGAGGTATCTTAGTGTTCACCTCCCCGTGTGCACATAGGAAGCCAGTCACATTACTGGATTCCTGGTGAGTTTGACTTTTCTTTCTGTCTTGAATCTCCCTCCCTTCCCCAACCCCATACCCTACCCTACTTCATTCCTTTTTCTTGGGTCTTCCTGATCTCAACCCCTCTGCCTGTCCTCCACGTTGCCTGAAGAGTGAGCCTCCTGACACACGAATCCCCCCGTGGCCTCATCTGCTCAGGTTTCTGAGGTCCCCAGTAACCATGCTCACACTGTGTAATCACGAGTGGTCTGGTCCACACCTCATCACTTGGCGTGCATGTAAATGTTTTAGCAAGTTAGCTCTCGCAATTATTGCCTGCCGAACCCCTCGCCCCTGCCCCTCACTCCCAGTGACCCTGGGCTGCGTTCACGCATGCCGTGGGCCTTCAGACACCCAGGTCTCAGGACCTGAGGGGCTCCTGTGTGCTTTCCATGAGGAACCGTCTTTCTGCTCACGACTCCATATCACATACCAACATCATGAAGTCCTCCCTAAATGCCCCAAGCCCACTCCGGCTCCCACTTTTCTGTCCATGAAATGTCTGTAACTTCTAGAGTGTCCTGAAGAAGCAAAGACTGTGTCCCTCCATTTTTGTACCCTCAGAACTTAGCTTGATACTCACAGTGAAATGCGTTCACTTCACGACACAGCAAACGAACGTGCAGGTACTTCTGCAGGGAGTGCTGTGGGGATGAGTGCACTGGTTCTGTGGCTCAGCCCTGAGTTGGGGTCAGGAGGCAGGCGCTGGGAAGAGGATTTTGTGTCTCAGGAAGCACAGGAAGGCCTTTCTAGGATCCAGGAAAAAATGGAAAGTAGACCAATGTGAGCGTTAAAAGAACACATATTATCTTTTAAATGTATGTACACAGTACAATTGACTGTTTTGTATACAATTCTATGAGTTTTAACACATATAGATTGGTGTCACCACTAATTATAAGATTGCAGGGAACTGGGGGAAAAAAGGCGTGCATTAAGGAATGATATGGCATATTTGGGGGACAGAGAACAGGCTTGATGAGGACAGAGTCTATTTAAAAGAGACAGTGGGCACTGCGATTGGAGGGGAAGGCGGGGTGGGGCTGTAGAGGACCCCCAGTGCTGGGCTACAGGATTCAATAAAGTTATTAATGAGATTGTCCGCATTGTGGATTCAGAAATGTTTATGTCATACCTTGAGGAAGGTGTGAGTAGATTGTGCTGATGATTGCATAACTCTGACTAGACTAAGAACCACTGAGTTGCACCCAGAATTTGCATTACTGAGCGCTTTACCAGTTAGGAAGGTTTCGCATACTCCATACTTTAAATCTGAGGTGCCTTGACTGTAAGGCCTGCCCGTGTTTCCTGGACCGCTCAGAGGAAGAATGCTGTGAGTGAGAACTGCAGCCCTGTAAGACACGCACTGTATTGTTGTTGAGATGGGAAAGTGCATGTTAAAACTGTTAGAGAGCCAAGAAGCGACTTTAAAGGGTGAGCTCTACCTAGAGGGAAAAGCAAATGCACTAATTGAAATCCAACCCCCTGGGCTGGAGTAAATGAACCATCAACCACCCATGGGGCTTCCCTTCTTGGTGATGGATAAATAGCTGGGATTCCTTGAAGCTAGAAGCCGTGGGGAAATTCTGTTCTGCTTTGTCAACAACACAGTCTGCCTTAACAGACTTGTAGGTAAATAGATTTGGAGAGTCTGAGCTAAAACCCATTAAATCAGATGAAGACACAAACGCAAGCACAGGCAATGTGTTTTAAAGCAAAGCTAATGTCCCTTCGGCCTTAACTGACAGACTTTCCTAGCAGTCCTCACCCCCTGCAACCCAGGGCTCCTAGGAGGAGCTCACGGCAGAGAAAGTCCTCTGGCGTCTGCCACTGCCCCCGCAACTTCTATGTACACGTCAGTGTATATCCATGGGTATGAAATGGTCATTTTATGTCACCATTAGCAGAGGAAAGCAGGAACTCGTTCAAACCCCACCCAAAATTCACTCTGAGGATCGAGCAGTCCTGTTTATTCTGGAGGCCACTTAACCCTGGAGCAGCCCATAAGCTCCACTTAATCCCCTTTTCTTTCATGATTTCTTTTAAAGAGACATCTCGGTTCTGTAGGGGAACATTTGTGCTTCATTGAAAAACTCCATTTGAGGCCTGCTCACGGCCCTGCCAGCTTATCTGCTTGCAGCCTTCATTGCTTGGGAGCTGTTTTACAACTTCGTAAGTTGTAAAGAGCTGCTGGCGATGCAAGCGCGCCTGTCTACAGGCAGGAAATGAATTCTGTCTGGTACAGGGAATGCTCCCTACCTTGTAGGAAAGCCAACTTTTTTTGTCCATTCGCAAGTTTATTTCAGTATTTCTCATCTATAAATGTGTTCTTCAGATTGTCCTTTGAACCAGTTATAGCATCTGAGTTAAGTAAAATGAATACACTGTGTTCATTTTATACCTGTATGAAAGCTATGTTTTTTGTTTTTTTTGTTTTTTTGAGATGGACTCTCACTCTGTCGCCCAGGCTGGAGTGCAGTGGCGCGATCTCGGCTCACTGCAACCTCCTCCTCCCAGGTTCACGCCATTCTTCTGCCTCAGCTTCCCGAAAGTTATGATTTCTTTTTAAATTATCTTTTAACTGTTTTTAGCTAGAAACTCCTGGGTCAATATATAAATAGATAAGCCTGGTTATCTCTGAGGTTCTTATTGAGGTAACAACAAAAATAAAACAGCACAATGCCACCCAGCTATCGTTCCCCAACTTACGCCTGTCCCCTCCACATGTCCTGCATGCACTCCTGTTTCTGGGGTGTGTGCGTATGCGTGTGTGTGTGCGTGCGTGTGCGTGTGTGTGTGTGTGTGTGTAAAGGTTTGCAGTGAAATTAGAATCATTGGTTTTTTGTTGGGAGTGGGGAGTTGTTTTGTTTTGAGACAGGGTCTCACTCTGTCGCCCAGGCTGGAGTGCAGTGTCACAATCACAGTTCACTGCAGCCTCAACCTCCTGGGCTCAACTGATCCTCCCACCTCAGCCTCCCAAGTAGCGGGAACTATAGGCATGTGACACCACGCCGGGCTTGCTTATCTATCTATCTATCTATCTATCTATCTATCTATCTAGATAGGGTCTCCCTATGTTGCCCAGACTGGTCTCAAACTCCTGGACTTAAGCAATCCAACTGCCTCAGCCTCCCAAAGTGCTGGGATTACAGCTGTTAGCCACTTTGCCCAGCTAAAATTAGAGTTTAGAGCACATTGCTGTAAATTGCGATTACTAAGGGGATTGAAAAATCAATGAAAATAATCAAGAGCAAGTTGACTTCAGAATCTGTGCCTTTGAGGTTTTCCCCTTGATCTCCAGGTAACATGTAGGCTCCCTGGCGAGAGCCAGTGGTGACACAGTGAGAACACCGTCTGCTGCATCTAATGTTTACAGCTTGTAATTCACAACTAACTTTTAAAAATGTACCAGTGTTGGGGAAATGGTGCTTTGCTGGGTAGGAAAATTGGCCAAGATCAGAATTCTGAAGGTAATGTCACGGCACAAAGAAACTAGCTACTGAAATCACATCCTAAACATCCAAGAGGTTGACTTCCTTTTCTACTGCGTTAGAAAAAGGCTTATTTACAGCTTATCCATACAGTAAGATAGAGATTTGATCTCATTTTTTGGTTAGGAACGACCATATCAAATTGTGTGTGTATGTGTGTGTGTGTGTGTGCACATTTTACAGAATTTTTAAAAATACACAGAGAACTCTTCACAGTTGTTAACTCTGGTAAATGGCAGGGGAGGCAGGGGTGAGAACTGATCTATTATTCATAGTCTCAACGATGAACAAGATATTTCCAAAAATAAGCGGATTATTTAAAATTATTATTATTATTAGGATACTTTGGGCTTCTAGAAACAAAAACTTAACAAAAAAGTCACTTAAAGAATTTAGGCTTGTTTTTTTTTCTGACATAAAAACAAAATAAAGGATGATTTCAGTTTGGTCCGTCAGTAACTTAGAAGTGTTTTTCAGGACCCAGAGCTTTCCGCCTTCCCACTGGGCCATTTTCAGCGTGTCTCGTGGCCTCTGGGGGCTTCAGTGATCCAGGCATCACATTAGACATGACAGTGCCAAGCAAAGAAGTATTTCTGCTTATGCGTCTGTTTATAATAGTGAGAAAAACTCCCTCAGAATCCCACCAGCGACTGATTCTCAGGTCGCACTGGCCAGGATTGAGGCCAGCTGTGCCATGCTTAGCTCAGTCATTTGCATTGTGATCACCATGATTAGCTTGGACCAGTCCTGGGACTTCTCCTTGGGCTTGAACACATGGCCAGGTGGAGGTTGGTGCCCCCAGAAAAAGTCTTTGTTCTGCCAACAAAGAAGACACAGACAACAGTGTCCAACAGGAAAAGCCCCTTTTTACTTTATACCCTTCCGTAGTATTGCTTCAACAATCATATACTTTATTTTATTTTATTTTTTGAGACAGAGTCCTACTGTGTCACCCTGGCTGGAGCACAGTGGTGCCATCTCTGCTCACTGCAACCTCCGCCTCCTGGATTCAAGCGATTCTCCTGCCTCAGCCTACTGAGTAGCTAGGATTACAGGCGTGCAACAAAATGCCCAGCTAGTTTTTGTATTTTTAGTAGAGATGGGGTTTCTCCATGTTGGTCAGACCAGTCTCGAACTCCTGACCTCAAGTGATCCACTCACCTCCGCCTCCCAAAGTGCTGGGATTATATAAGCTGGTATTACAGGCGTGAGCTACCGCACCTGGCCTTTTTTTTCTTACATAGAGTTTTGCTCTTGTTGCCCAGGCTGGAGTGCAGTGGCACGATCTCGGCTCACTGCAAGCTCCACCTCCCAGGTTCACACCATTCTCCTGCCTCAGCTTCCTGAGTAACTGGGACTACAGGCGCCTACCACCACGCCTGGCTAATTTTTTGTATTTTTAGTAGAGACGGGGTTTCACTGTGTTAGCCAGGATGGTTTTGATCTCCTGACCTCATGATCCACCCACCTCAGCCTCCCAAAGTGCTGGGATTACAGGCGTGAGCCACCACACCCGGCCCCATGCCTGGCTAATTTTTTATATTTTTAGCAGAGACAGAGTTTCACCGTGTTAGCCAGGATGATCTTGATCTCCTGACCTTGCGATCTGCCCACCCCAGCCTCCCAAAGTGCTGGGATTACAGGCATGAGCCACCGTGCCCGGCCAAATACTTTCATAGTTAACTTTTTGAATGTGTATGTGTCCTACTTTAAGACGAAAGATATTCTTTCTTGATCCCATTTCCATGCAGCTTGGCCCCATGATTCTAGGGACCATGGCTTTTTCTTGCAGTGTGACTCACAATTTGCCAAAGCAAATCTCTTGTCTTGCATCAGCTCAGTCTCTTTGTCTGCAAATTAAATCAATAGCCCTTTTTACAGCCTATCTCCCAGGACATATTGCTAAAAATACTCACAAAGTCACCATCCAGGAAGAATCATTTGCCCCTGCTGCCACTGTCTCCTGGAAGTCACATGAAAGTTACTGAGGCTCGGTATTTATTATGCTGTAAAATTCAACGCAAGGGAAGAGAAAAAGCAAATTCCATGAGCAGATTTAAGTGTATTGGATCTAATCCATTGATGCTGCAGCTATATTTTCACAGTAGGATCCTCTTTTGTTAAATATTACAGTAGTGTGAAAACCTAGCAGAAAAACAGTTCACTGTTGCTCTGATTTTGTGAGCGATGTGGGCTGTGGAACTTACTCTTTGCTGCTCGTCCCCCAACTCCACTGTACCCCTACCTCCAAGGTCAACCTTGTCTGCTGCCCTGACTAAGATGACCCCAACCTCACTGCACCCCAGGTTATACTCCTCTGAGAAGGCCCTTCATCCCTCCCCTCACATACATCCCCTCAAATCTCTAATTTGTATGAACCATTAATTTCAGATATTGCAGGGAAAATATGCAAAACAAAATGTGGATAGCACATAACCCACGGCATCTCTCAGAGGGTTTTTATACTCAAAAAGAAGTCTTTACCAACCCATAGTTAGGAAAATGCGTGTTCAGAATAACTGGGCCTTCCCGCAGTCCTCTGGGTCAACCAGATGACCACACGTCGCCAGAAGGAGAAGCAGAGCAGCTTCACATCCCAGTTTCCGAAATGTTTCCCAACAGCTCATTGAAACAACCTCGAGACACCTCTCTCCCGCAAACTTAGTGTGTTTTGGGAACGGCTCTAGGAATTCTCCTTCTGCATTGCCTCACTGTCCCTTTCCCCGTCCAAACCATGGTATTGGATTTACAGCATTTCTTAGATTCTATAAAAGTCCTTTTCTGCCAAGAGCCTGGAGCACGCTGGATTGAATGACTCTCTTCCAGCACAGCCGGCATTTGCACTGCATTAGAATCTTGCCGTCACTTGCACACGTCACCAAGTTACTTTAGCTGGAGTTCAGCCTAGCTACGGCTCTGCTCTGTTCTGCTAGCAGTTGCTTTTCAATATTTTGTTTGAGGATTTGTAGTAATTCAAAGGCCTACACTTTTTTTTTTTTTTTTCCTAATTTATTTCTTTGGAGTTTTACTCATGGATACTTCAGAAAATGTCAGTTTAATGTCATTAATGTCATCATCTTCTCTGGGTTCTCAGAATTCGAAATTCACAGGAGCATGGCAGCCTTACATTCAGTCTATTCTTTTCCTAAAAAAGGAGGTAAACCACAACAGTTCACTTATGCTATGGAGACTGAAGTGGTCCCACCTCTGTAATTCTCTCTCTGTCTGCCCCACAGCTGTGCCGAAGGGAGTGCCACTTGTCTGCAGGGCCGTACCGCGGAACCCTCTTTGCCGACCAGCCAGTGATGTTTGTCTCGCCTGCCAGCAGCCCCCCAGTGGCCAAGCTCTGTGAACTAGTCCACCTGTGCGGAGGCCGGGTCAGCCAAGTCCCCCGCCAGGCCAGCATCGTCATCGGGCCCTACAGCGGAAAGAAGAAAGCAACAGTCAAGTATCTGTCGGAGAAATGGGTCTTAGGTAAGAATCTAGGCACAGAGACACTGTTGTGTGGTCCAGATCTATGAACAGGCTTCCAGGGAGGGCGGTGCCATGCTCACACCCCCTTCCACGCAGCTGGGGCACCTGGGTTGATGTTCCAGCCTCTAGCATCTGCCCTGGCAGCGTCATGTGGTCACCCTCGGCATTCCCACTCCTTGCTGTCAGCAGAAGCACAGTTCACAAAGAAATGGGAACTCTAACTGGACTCCCCACTTGACTCTCCTGGCTCGTGTGAAAAACCCAGTCCACCCAAAGCCACCCCAAGTCACCCCTGTGGGCACAGGCTCTGCAGGCACCCACTTAGACCCTCCCTCCCCAGTGCCTCCTTGTCCTACTTCAAGAGTCCCTGGCAGCACCCAGCGTTAGGGCCCAAGCCCCCGTCCCTGTCATCCCCTCTCCCAGGTACATCTCATGATCACTCCATCTGCTCATGTGCTCGAAGGGCGTTAAAGACATAAAAAGACTCCATCCTTTATTTCACAAAGTGAGCACAATGTGACCGTAATGTCCCACTCTGGCATTCATGGAGTTGCGCCAGGTGCTGTGTGCAGTTCTGGGGAGGAAGAGGTGGTAGGAGCTGAGCTGTGACCAGAGGAGGCTGGATCCACGCCATGCTCACACGCGGGCTCCGGTAGACTTGCCGGTGATCCCAGGAGAAGGGGGTTGAGGAAGAGTGTGAAGCAAGGATGGCCTGGGGAATGTGGAGGAGGCAGGGCAGCATCTGTGCCACAACTTACGCACCCTGTGGTGGAGTCACACGTGGCAGGACAAGCCTAGGGCTCCACTGTGGGTAAACCCCACATCCTTCTCCACAGGGTTGTGATAAACATGTTAGTTTGCTTGGGCTGCCATCACAAAATACTACAGGCTGGGTGGCTTCAACAACACGCACTGTCTGTCAGTTCTGGAGGCTGGAGGTCTAAGAGGGGGTATCAGCAGCGTTGGTTTCTCCTGAGCTTGCAGACGGCTGCCTTCTTCCTGTGATCTCACGTGGCCTTTCCTCCATGCACACACATCTCTGGTGTCTCTGTGTGTGTCCAAATTTTCTCTTCTCTAAGGATACCAATCAGATTGGATTAGGGCTCACCCATTGGCATAGTTTTATTTGCTTTTATTTATTTTTTTGAGACAGTGTCTCGCTGTATCACCCAGGATGGAGTGCAGTAGCACGATCATGGCTCATGAGCAGCCTCAACCTCTCTGGCTCAAGTGATTCTCCTGCCTCAGCCTCCCAAGTAGCTGGAACTACAGGTGCATGCCACCACGCCCAACCTTTTTTTTTTTTTTTTTTTTTTTTTTTTGTAGAGATCGGGTTTCCCTGTGTTGCCCAGGATGGTCTCAAACTCCGGGGCTCAAGCGATCCTCCTGCTTTGGCTTCCCAAAATGCTGGCATTACGGGTGTAAGCCGCTGCACCCAGCCCCAGTGGCATCATTTTAACTTGTCTTATTCAAGGCGCCATCTCCAAATACAGTCTAATCCTGAGTTACTGAGGGTTAAGACATCGACATATGAATTTTGGCCAGACACAGTTCAGCCCATAACAATGAATCACTCCAGTTTCAGCACCTGGGGCCAAGTTCCTTACCTGGCTTTAGAGGTACATCCTCTCTCTCTCCCATTCTCTCATTCTTTTTCTCTCTCTTTGCTTCCATCTCTTTCCATGTTTCTTATTCAGTCTCCTTTCTTAGTACTTCTGCTTGTCTCTAAATCCTAAACTTCTGGCTTTTCTCACCCCCTGCTAAACATTATCCTTTAATAGACAAGTAGATACTGTGTTTGTCCAAGTTACATTCATAGCTAACTATGGACATTTTACAAACATCTTTTACATGATTGATGGTCATCCTTTCATATATTTTAAAAGCGTGGCAATCAAAATAATTTTTTACTCTGGCGCAGAGTAATTCATCTTTTGCCTGGAAACTAACTTCCAAAAAAAAAAAAAAACTATGATTTTAGCTACAGTCCAAAAGCTAAGAGGCTGTTTACTGTTTTCTAAATGCCAAGAATATAACCTTCAAAACATCCTATGTTCTGAAACAGAGGTTGTTGTTTTGTTTTTTTGGAAAAGTGTATTATCAAAATTCCATTGACTGCAGAACAGAACTGGGCCTGAAGGCTTGTCTGGCCAGCTGACGGAACTGTGCATGCGATTGATATCCACAGCCTACCAACAGGCAGTCTTTGGAGTTTGGAAAGCGTGTGCCGTTCAGGGCCGAGCTTGCCTCTGTTTCCAGGTTGGGTGGCTCTGACGGCTCCTTCCTGTGGCTCCTGCATCCTTGTGTGGAGTCACGCTTGCTCGGCGGCTGCTCACTTCCTCGGGTTGTTTTGCCGCTGGGCTCTCCCGCCCGTGGGTTTTCAGGAGGTGAATGTCTATCTGCTTAACCCCAACGCTTCGCTCCCATAAAGCCCTTCAGAGTTCTCTGACTTCCAGGGCTGGGCCACAGGCCCCAGCCTCTTTTTCTTTCCTCCTGTAACGTGTGTCCTGTTTCTGATTTCTCACCAATTATGACATCTGCGTGTGCCCTTGGTAACATCTGGGTATTGTGTGTGCTGCAGCCTTCACCCATGTGAGACGAGTCCCCTCACTCGCCGGCCACCAGACCCCAGTGTAGTGGGCATCTCCAGTACCAGGCCTCTCCAGCCCACACTCTCTGGGATGTAAGATCACATAGTTTGCAAGTATTTATTGGCTTGTTATTTTTCTTTTTGTGAATTGAATTCCAATCCAGTAGCTGCAGCTATGTACAAATAAAGGAGGGTTTATTTTTCTGTCTGTACATACTTCTGGCCTTTCTCACCCTCTGCTAAACATTATCCTTTAACAGACAAGTAGATTTTTTTGTATTTTTCTCTTTGTGAATTGAATTCCAATCCAGTAGCTGCAGCTATGTACAAATAAAGGAAGGTTTATTTTTCTGTCCATACATACACTTGTAAACCTACAGAACACACGGTCCAGGGCATTGCATTTCCTGCCTCATCCAGGTCCAGGTTGGCCATTTGCTTATTCTCTAACCAGAAGCAAATCACATACTTTTTTTTTTTTTTTCCCTCTGAGATGGAGTCTCGCTCTGTCACCAGGCTGGAGTGTGCAGTGGCGAGATCTCAACTCACTGCAACCTCCACCTCCTGGATTCAAGTGATTCTCCTGCCTCAGCCTTCCCAGTAGCTGGCACCTGCCACCATGCCTAGGTAATTTTTGTATTTTTAGTAGAGATGAGGTTTCACCATGTTTGCCAGGCTGGTCTCAGACTCCCAACCTCAAGTGATGCTCCTGCCTCAGCCTCCCAAAGTGCTGGGATTACAGGCGTGAGCCACTGTGCCTAGCTGAAATCACCCATTTTCTGTGGAATGCATTTACTTCATGTATAAAACAGAGTGATAACCTCTACCTAGCTTACCCCACATGTTGGTTAAAGGAGAAAACACAGAGAGTGCAAATGCCCTGTGGCAGACATAGGCTTGTTAAGTATGGCAGATAAACAGTATCCACGAATGTGTCCTCATCATCCCTTCAACAAAGCACATTGTGTCTTTTGGAGACTTTTTTTCCTCCCATTAATTTCCATTATAACAAATGCTTCTCTGGACAATATTTCATTCTCAAAATATCGCAATATTGAAAAACTAGGAATATATCAAACCATTTTAAGGCATCAAATTGAAAGAAAAAGTTATTTTAAGTTAAATTATGAAAAGACAATACTCAAAAAAAATCAATTAAATTTATTCAAACTGGAATATCAACTGCTGTGTAAGATAGGGTCCCTGGGCATCTAAGAGTAATTTGAGCCAGGCATGGTGGCCCATGTTGTCCTAGCTACGTGGGAGCTTGGCTGGAGCCCAGAAGTTCAAGGCTGCAGTGAGCTATGATCCCACCGCTGTACTCCAGCGTAGGCAACAGAGCAAGACTCCATCTCTAAAAAGGAAAAAAAAAGAATCATTTTTCAGTACCTTCATATTGTTTCTGTATCTTACAGTCTTGTTTTGCAGATGTCGTAAAGTCACAGGGGGTGGAGAATCAGGAGTTTTTTTTAGCCACTAGGAACCTCTCTGAGAAGTTTCTTTTCTTTTCCTTTCTTTATTATTATTAGTTTTTTTTTGGCCAGAGGAGTGAAAGGAAGGTAGGCACTAAAACCACAGCTCTTCCCCTGGGACTGCAGCATCCTAGCCCCACCGTCCTCCCGCGAGCCTTTTGTTCCTGCATGGTCTGTATCTCAAGACCAACAACTCCATATCT